ATTCCAGGAAGCTGGGGGCAGAGCAACTCTGCCTCCGGCTTCCTGTAGTCAGCCCCTGGTCAGTTTCAGTGACAGCAGCTGAATCTGGAGCCAGTTCTGACTTACATACTAATTCAACTTAAGAACAAACCTATAGTCCCTATCTTGTACGTAACCTGGGGACTGCCTGTATTCACATGTACCTTATCCTACCATATTATATGTTTAGGTGCCAATACTTTGAAACAATTTTCCAAAGCCAATAATCAGATAAATGTATGGAACTTAATTAAAACACCCAGATAGATGTAGAGTTTTGATTCAACTAGGCATGCATTAAAAAAGAAAAAAAAAAAAGATTTCCATTCAGCAAAGATGAAACCCTCCATCTGACTCCAACACTTCCCAGCTTTGAGCCCCCTCCCCGAGCCAGCGTCCCCTTCTCCACCTCCTCCTGCATCCAGATTTCCTCCAGAGCTTGCACCTCTCACCCCTTCCCACACCCAAATACCTCATTCCACTCCAGAGCCCACAATCCAGTCTCAACCCAGTGAAGGTACAGCAGTGAAGGTACTGCAGGAGTTTTTCCAGGATTCAACTGAAATCAAAAGGTCTTTTTTTAAATTTATTATGTATGTCAGGGAATTAGGCGCTTACATGACTTTTGGCAACCATTTTGCATGATGAAGTAATTTTTTGCAGCCTTCATTTTTATAAAAGCCTTAGCCCGTTTAGCATTTTTTCCTATGCACTTAAAAATATAATACCAATGATGTAAATCTCTTCCTACAGAAGAACTGAAAAAAAGCAAGCAGTGTCACTGTACCCTGAGAGTGTATAAGGGCTGGGGATAGCAAGTGATGGAGAGAAGAATAGAAGAATAGAGAGGGAGGGGCTTCAAGAAAGGGGTGGGGTCTTGGGGGAAGGATGGGGCAGTAGATCTTGGCTTGTTCTGACATTTAAAAAGTGATCTTAAATATAAAAATGTTGGAGACCACTGCCTTAATTGATTTGATATACACCGTACCTTTCTGACTAGAAGGGAAAATGTAACAGCAGCAGGATGCAAAAGGACCCAGATTAAACAATTTCCAATGAAGTTCCTCTACTGGTGGGTAAAACAGGCATGAATGCAGAATGCAAACAGCGCAACAAAGAAATGCAAGGCCTGGCTGCCCGAATGAAACACCATGAAAAATGTTCCTTCTCAAGAGGAAGCTCAACTAAGGATAACCAAAGGAACTATCTGAAAATGCAGGATCTTTAGGTTGGTAAACTTTATTCCATAATTTATTCCTAAAGACTGCCTGTCTTCCTTCTTGATGATTCTTGAATTCTCATGTTTGAGCTATTTATTTTTTATTTTTTGCCTGGGGAGCACAGAGTGGTGGGTTTGAATCCGGTCCCCCACAAGAAGCTCAAATTCCACACATCCTGGGAGTGACCGGACAAGGGACCCTCTGAAGGTAGGGAGGTGGTGTGGGTTCTTGAGCGGACTAGGGCATATGCCTAGGCAGCACTGGGTTGGAGGTTTGAGAGCGCACACATGCACACACTTTTGATGCAATTGTGATCATAGAATACTAGAACTGGAAAGGACCTTGAGCGATTATCAAGTCCAGTCTCCTGCCCCCACAGCAGGACCAAGCACCATCTAGATTATCCCTGATAGATGTCTGTCTAATCTGCTCTTAAATATCTCCAGAGATGGAGATTCCACAGCCTCCCTAGGTAATTTATTCCAGTGTTTAGCCACCCTGCCCGTTAGGACGTTTTTCCTAATGTGCAACCTAAACCTCCCTTGCTGCAGTTTAAGTCCATTGCTTCTTAACCTGTCAGAGGCCAAGGAGAACAATGTCTCCCTCCTCCTTATAAAACCCTTTTGTATACTTGAAAATGGCTATCATGCTCCCTCTCAGTCTTCTCTTTTCTAAATTCAACAAGCCCAATTCTTTCTGTCTTCCCTCATAGCTTATGTTTTCTAGGCCTTTAATCATTCTTTTTGCTCTTCTCTGGACCTTCTCCAATTTTTCCACTCCTTTCTTGAAATGTGGTGCCCAGAACTGGACACAATACTCCAACTGAGGCCTAATCAGCACCGAGTAGAGCAGAAGAATGACTTCTCATGTCTTGCTCACAACACTCCTGTTAATACATCCCAGAATCATGTCTGCTTTTTTTGCAACAGCATCACACAGTTGGCTCATTTAGCTTGTGGTCCACTATGACCCCTAGATCCCTTTCAGCAGTACTCCTTCCTAGACAGTCACTTCCCGGTCTGAACGCGTGAAACTGATTGTTCCTTTCCAAGTGGAGTATTTGCATTTGTCCTCATTAAACTTCATCCTTTTCGTTAACTATAAACATAAGCAGTGATGCAATATTTCTTTATAGTTACTGATTCTCAAAAACAGCTATAACACTTACTGCCTACAACTACCACTTTCCTAGCTGCCACCCAGTTTCAGAATCTGCTGGCTTTTTTTCTGAAATCACAGACTTCCTCAAAACATCTCCTGTATTCTTAGCTCTCATTGATTACACTGCCTACAGCAAGGGCCTGTCAGATATGCACAGGAAATAATCAGATGTGCCTGGCACACTTTAGGAACACTTTGCAGCAGCATTAGGCAATGATTTCTTCAAACCCCCTATGTCCCACTTCATTTCATATCACCATATTTTCTGTGCCTTCCAACAATGATTTCAAGACACTTACCAATTGAATATTTTATTCATCTGGGTATTCACCATTTCCTCTGTGTATAATGGTGCTTTCACTAATGTTGTTACTTTTCAGACAATTTAATTCCTAATCATGTAACATGTTTTGAAAAATACTTTCTTCAATAACTGTACTGTATTTATGATACAGAAATTCTCTATTGCATTCCTTTTCCGCTCAATCATCATACTACTAGATTTTATCCGCTTCTTTATCTAGACTCATGTTCTGCATTCATTTTGCTTCACTCATTAATACAAAAAGCACAGTTGCATATTTTCTTCAGATTGTTTTCCCTCAAAAAAGCTAGCCCTGGCACAGAAGGCTTTAGAGGCATACACTTTCATCAAATTTCATTTTTAGATTCAACGCTTATTATGAATACTTGAGATTTTAAATTAATATCTTACCTGAACAAAGTTGTTCGACTTTTGTGTAGTTTAAAGCTACTATGTCATTAACCCATGCAATGATGTCATGTCTGCTCATAGTCTCTTGAGTTATAGAGGTAGAATACACGTTGACCGCCATTCCCCAACTAGAAAATAAAAGTTACATAAATAAATCTGCTTGGCATTTCAATTAACATATTTGATAGATACATTTTAAAAAGGAGCAAGTTTCACAGAATTTCCATCAAAAAACAAAAATCCACAGCCTGCAAGGAACAACCTGCATTAAACAAGCAACCCTTTTCTCTTTTCTGGAGAATGGAGGCTAACTCCATTTAAATTTTATAACACTTTGGCAAAGGGTGATCTCCCAAAGGTCCTCTCCTATGCTCAGCACCATAACTAGGTATTTTTGTATCCCCTTTCCTTAGGTTAGCATGCATCACGCTCTTTACTTTTGCAGCTTATTATTTTTTACTTACTGCATCTTTATGCCACTGATTTTGATGCACCCAGGGCAAGAGTGCCACTTGTCCTGCCCTTGTTGCAGCCCTGCCTATACCAACTACAGCAGAAGGGCAAAAAGGGCAAACTTTAAAGAAGGGAGTAACATACAAAAGTTTGCAGCATTCAGTGAGAATGGTGGCAATTCTTTTCAGTATACATCTATTAGGAGCAAAGCTGAAAGATAATTCAGATAAAGCATAGTCAAAAGGATTTTGGACAGGATTAGGACTAGAACTAGGATTGGGACTCCGAAGGTCTAGTTCCATTTGCCACTTACTGCTGTGTGACTCTGAAGTCGTTTAATAGCTCTGTATCCATTTCCCCAACTACAAATTTCCTTATATAAGTGCTGTGATTAGTTAATATACACAAAGTATTTACTGAAAAATAGGATTTGGTCTGGAAAAATATGGGAGAAGTCATGACCATGCATAAATATAATGTGTGGTATGTTGCCCTGCAAAAAAAAAAAACAAAAACAAAAAACAAAAAAAAAAAAACAAATAATTTGTCTCAGAAAATTGACATCTGAGAGTGAAACTAGGTTTCCTCCCTTATAGTAAAGGTTTTATTTGCCATATTATGCTCTCCATGAAAGTTTTGTAGTCTCATTGTTGTGCTGACTGGTGCTGAAGATTGTTTACTTGGTTAACATTAAAGGAGGAACAATTTTCCAACATCTGAACCGAGTTGAGGAGTAAAGAAAAGGATTTAGCAGCAAGGAGGGCATGTTTACTTTTTAAAAGGTCCATTATTATAGCAGGTTAGAAAGTTAGCTCCCAAGGCCAGAAATGATAAGAGGTTGGGCAGGCATAAAATTCTGTTACTGAACAATAGCTGAAATTTGAACTTCATTTTTGCCAGCCGAGAGACACGAGGGATTATCACTGCAGGTTTACCACTGGAGAGTACAGTTGCCCTGTTGGCTCTAAAAACAAACAGTGAAAGACATTTTAAATGATAATTCATTAAATTAAGCCACTGGCTTAAAAAATAGTTTTTCCAATTACCAGCAGTTTGGGGCCAGCAAGTTTAGCCATGAGACATACAAATATACAGCTGTCAAGGAGGGGAAAAAGTAAAAAAAAAAAAAAAAAAAAAAAATCCATCATAGCACTCTTCCAAAAGCGAATACGGCAGGGAGAAAAACTACAAAGCTTATGTTACCATTGTAACTGAACATAAGTTACATGCCATACTATACAAAAATCAAGACTACACAAAGGAAAGTCATGGAAGGAAGTGAACAACCGGAAATTTAAAGGTTTGCCCTGAAGTACCGGTAGCTCTGTAATATTCCTATTTGCATAGTGTTAGTATAAGAGGAGGAAAACGTTACTAAAACACTGATTTCTTAAGGTTAATACTAAAAAGAGATGACAGTTTTATATTTACAGATCTAGATTTATATTTTGGCCATATCATGCCAATTTTAAAATATAAACCATTTTAAAATAGAATTTTAAGTGAAATCAATGGGGGATGGTTGGGGCTGCCAGTCAATTAGTATAGATTGAACTTCCCTGGTCCAACATGCTCAGGACCTGAGTGGTCCCAACCCACGAAGTTTGCCAGATCAGGAGAGGTCAAGGCTTCTCTCTAGGCTGTGGGCATTCCCGGAGCCTGGGATTCCCCTCCCCACTGCTGGCTGCATGCAGTGGATCAGCCTCCTCAGGCTGGGATTCCCAGCTGCCACTGGCTCCTCTCTGCCAGGGTTCCTGGCTGGCTGGGGCTTCCCACTGGCTCCACTGCCACCGGGATTCCGGGCTGAGGATCCTCCCGGCTGCCGCCAGTCCTACTCCCACCCAGGATTCCACCTGGCCACCGCTGCCTCGCTTCCACTGGGGATCCCAGCTAGGGGATTCCCCACACATGCCGCCAGCTCAGCTGCTGCCTGGATTCCCAGTCAGGGATGGGGATTCCTCTCAGTTGGCACCAGCCCTGTTGCCGCTGGGGTTCCTGGATGACCTGGAGAGTCTTCTCAACTGCCACAGGGACTCCCCAGGGCTGGACTTCCCACCCACCCCAGGACCAGCCCCTGCCAGCCCAGCTGGGGTTCCCCAGCAGCCGCAAGACTCAGTTGGCTTGTGTCCCTCATCTCTGGGGCTCTCTTGTCCAGCAACAACCAGGGTCCTTCCTTTCAGATCATGGATGTTGCTGGACCAGAGTCCCGGATTTGAAAGTTTCAACCTGTACAAGAATAAAGCCCTTTAGTAATGGCTTGCATTGCATTCCTGAATCTTCCCTTATTTCTTCTCTGAAATAGTTTACAAGATACAACTAAGCTCTTTTTTTCCCCCCACCTGGAGTTTTATTTCAAATGGAGGAGATTTTGTTTTATTGTTTTTTACATAAACAAAGGAAAAGCTAAGTTGTAAGTTCATGTTTATAGATTGTTCTAAATTGGTGCTCATTTCCTGTATGGATGCTCAGAGACTATCAACAACTATGCAGGAATAAAACCCCCAAAACAATCCACTATATGTAACATGGCCAGATTTTCTGAAGAGCACAGTACCCAACAGGCTAAACTCTTTGGAAAGTCTGACTAAAATTTTGTTTAGGTAAGTTTAAAAAAAATCAAATTAGGAAATAGTATGTAATACTCATTATGTGTATCAAGCTGCAGATGCAGCAGAAGTACATAAGGAATGACAATAACTAAATCATACACACAAACAAAATAGCACTTTATTTTATTAAACTAAATCTTACCTATTACATAAATATTTCATATTTGCAACAAACAAACAGTCTCCTGAGTTGCTGGCTGATGATTGTCTTCAACATTTGAAATAAAAATAAAAAAGCTTAACAGACAAGTTGTCAGAATGCTGAGGGTGTGTCTTCACAGCAGGGTTTAACTCAAAATAAGGTAAGTAACTTGAACTACATCAATTGCGTAGCTTATTTCAAAATTGGGAGCATCTACACAGCACTTATTTTGAAATAGAGCACTCTTCCTCCAACTTCCTTATTCTTTGTACAATGAGGGTTACAGGAGTCTGAGTAAGAAGTCCTCCAGCTTGACAGTATTTTGACATTATTTTGAAGTAACGGTCTGCTTTGTAGTTGCGGACTAAGTTACTTAGAAATAACATTAGTTATTTTGAAATAATGTTGCTGTATAGACATACCCTAAATGAATGGTATCCTTAACGTTTCTACAACTAGCTCTCAGCTTTCCCACCCCCACTCTCATGCAGTTCTGATTCTAAATTACCAAATAAGCTAAGACTGACTGTGCTTAGAATGCACTTTAATTTTGGAATAAGCATTATTAAAAATAAGTATAGGATGGGATTCCTTTGGGAAAGCTGCTTTATGCTGAAGTAATATAGGGAATAGTTTAAAAGGCATAGAGAGTCTTGAAAAATGATGCATTGCAAAGCTGATCCACATTGGTTTTCAGCAATATCCATATCATTTTATCCCTATAAGCAGTTTTCCTTATGATGTTTCGTTCTTGCAGCTAGGCCATGCATCTTCGTGCTCTGCTTCCACATGACAGGTTTTCCTTTATTACCCAGGGAATGAATTTCTTCAAAATATTCCCAGACAGGGTTTCTTTAACACCCAGAAACCATGACAGTTTTTCTGTGGCAAAAATGTAGGGGAAATGTAGGAAGCTCTGTGTGTGCTGCATAATGTCTTTCCTTTTCCTTTCCAGTCCACTCCACTGTTCTTTTCTATGCTGCTTCTGTCTTTTCCTATATACAGGCAGTCCCCGACTTACACGGAGCCGACTTATGTCGGATCCACACTTACGAACGGGGCTTTCTCGCCCCGGAGGTCGAGGTGGCGGATTGCTACCTGCGAGCTCCGGG